ACTGCACAGTTGTCAATCCTGGGGATGTGTGTTTGGAACTGCAGCAAGTCAACAGGGCTTTTAAGGATGTGCAAAGAATCGGTTTCCTACCCTAGAGTAGCCACAAACCCAGACCTCAAGGACTGAGTTTGGTTTATGACATGAATGTAGCCACATTTGACACCATTTTAACTTGTTGTTGTGTGCCTTCAGGTCATTTCTGACTCCTGGCCATAGAATCATAGAATTGGAAGAGATAGCAAGAGCCATCCAGTCCAACCCTCTTCTGCCATGCAGGAAAACACAATCAAAGCACCTGCTACAGATGGCCCTCCAGCCTTTGTTTAAAGACCTCCAAAGGAGGAGACACCACCACTCTCCACTCTTACTGTCAGGAAGTTCCTCTTAATGTTTAGGTGGAATCTCTTTTCCTGTAGTTTGCATCCATTGCTCTGAGTCCTTGTCTCTGGAGCAGCAGAAAACAAGCTTGCTCCATCCTCAATATGACATCCCTTCAAATACTTAAACAGGGCCATCATCTCACCTCTTAACCTTCTCTTCTCCAGGCCAAACATACCCAGCTCTCTTAGTCTTTCTTCATAGGGCTTTATGGTTCCCGGACCCTTCACCATTTTGGCCCCCCTCTTCTGGACACACTCCAGCTTCTCCATATCCTTCTTGAATTGCCCAGAACAGAACACAGGATTATTCCAGGTGAGGTCTGGCCAAAGCAGAAGACAGTGGGACTATGACTTGCCTCGATCTAGGCACTGTTCTCCTGCATGGCAGGGGTTTGGACTGGATGGCCCTTGTGGTCTCTTCCAACTCTAGGATTCTATGATTCTATTCACATAGTTGCATTGCCAAACAAAAAGTGTAGCTAACCCCCTGGATTCAGGTCCATGACCTCCCTGATTGAATCTATCCATCTGGTGTGGGGTCTTCCTCTCTTTCTACTACATTCTACCTTTCCTAACATTATTGTCTTTTTTATAGTGAACTGTGCCTTCACATGATGTGGCCAAAGTACGACAACCTCAGTTTGATCATCTTGGCTTCCAAGGAGATTTCAGGCTTGATCTGTTCCAGGAAACATTTGTTTGACTTTTTGTCCCTTCGCGGTATCCTCAGCACTCTTCTCCAGGACCACAGTGCAGATACAGCCCTGGAATAGCAATAGCACGTACATTTCTATACCGCTTATCAGTGAACTCAGCACTCCCTAAGTAGTTTAAAATCTGTAAGCCCCAACAAACTGGGTACTCATATTACCGACCTACAAAAGGATGGAAGGCTGAGTCGACCTTGGAGCCCTGGGATTGAACTCACAACCTTGTGGCTGGCGTATCGGCATCTATTCACTGTGGTGGAAATTTTGGACTAAAATCCAGAGCAGACTCGCTGCCACCCACACTGGCACCCAAAGCCTCAGGGAGTTGTCTGAAGGAGGATGGTGGGGCTGTTCCAGTTCCTCCTCCCCTGCAAATCTAAAGCACTTTGCACACAGAGGCAGGCTTTCCCTCTGCAAAGAAAGGAGAGCCTTGCGTGCGTCTCCCCAGCAACCTTCCTTCCCTGGAGAAGCGCTCCCTGTTGCCATGGTGACTGTCCCATTTTGGGAGCTGTCTCTGGTGCTGCCAGCATTGCCTTGCAAGAGCCCTTGCACACTCAGCAGCAGGCGTGCAAAAAGGGTGACCCACCACAGAGGCCCGCAGGGAGGCCAAGAGCCTCTTTTCCTCCTCATCACTGCCCCTCTGCCCTGCTTCTAAGGGACCTTCCTTAGGCCATCTGATAGGAAGTTGTAGTTGTTGTTGTTGTTGTTGTGTGCCTCCAAGTCATTGCTGACTTCTGACAACCCTTAGGAGAACCTATCATAGGGTTTTCTTGGCAAGTTTCTTCAGAAGGGGTATGCCATGGTCATCCTCTGAGGCTGAGAGGGTGTGACTTGCCCAAGGTCATGGGGTTTGGAACCTGATCTCCAGAGTCATAGTTGCCTTCCATCTTCTCCAGCATCATCTTCTTTTCTGAGGAGTGAGATCATCTCATGATACATCCAAATGTCAACAATTAGTCATCTTTGTTTCCAAGGATAATGAATTTGCTCCTGGGCCCATTAATTTGGCTTTTTAGCAGTCTGTGACCTCCAGAGAACGCTTGACCGGCACCACATTTCAAATGTGTTGATTCTCTTCCTGGAGGCTTTCTTCACTGTCCAGCTCTCACAACTACACATAAAAATCAGAAATACTATGGCCTAGAATGATGCTCCTAACCTTAGTATTTAATGATATGCACTTGAGGACATCGATTCAAGTTACAAGGGGGGGGGAATATTCCACCTAAACATTAGGAAGAACTTCTGGATTGGAAGAGCTGTTTGACAGCAAAATATGGCCTTCTTCAGAGGTTGGTAGACTCTCAATTTTTGGAGGGCCTCAGAAAGAGGTCAGATGTCCACGGTCCAATCTGCACTGCAGAAAAATTACAGTTTGGCATGGCTCAATGCTCCGTGACTGAGTGGAGAATTGAACCCTGGCCTCCAGAGTCATAGTCCAACACTCAAACCACTATGCCACACTTTCTGTTCTGATAAGAAGGTCTTGTTTTTTCCAAAGCTGGGGGAAATTCCATTTTATTTGTATTTTTATCTTTATTTTTCATTGATGAGGGACTGCATCTCTCCAAATCCCCCAATTCACATAGCCACTGTGGCAGGGAGAGCCAGGGAATTGTAGTCCTATAAAAGGGTTTCCCCTTCCCACACATACACACCAAGCTTTGCTTTTACTATGTTGGCTGGGGATTATGGGAGTTGTCAACAAATCCCACCCCCAAAGGTTCCCAACTTGGTGTGCATCTCTTTACCTGTACAGTCCCAGGTGTTTCATTGCCTCTTCTTTCCCTGGCTGACAGGGGTTCTCAACCAGGAATGCTCCCAATGTTGTTGGATCTGGGCTGCATCTGCACTGCAGAAATAATGCAGTTTGACACCGCTTTAACTGGTATGGCTCAGTGCTATGGAATTCTAGAATTTGCAGTTTTGTAAGATATTTAGCTTTCTCTGTCAGAGAGCTCTGGTGCCACAACAAACTACAGATGCCAGGATTGCATAGCATGACAACATGGCAGTGTCAAACTGCATTATTTCTGAAGTGCAGATGTAGCCTACATTTTCCAGAGTTCTTGAGCTTTGGCCACCCTGAGTGGAGACTTTGGGAGCTGAAGTCCAAGAACATCTAGAGCAACTCTCCCATTGAGAGGCACTGAGCCAAACAAGATGCCTGTGGAACACAGTGCTACAAGGTGTTGGAGATAATTTCTCCTTGCCTTCTCCCCATCTTCTTGTCCCAAATTATCTTATCTCTTTCTCCATTGAACAGTGTAACTTGACACTATGACCATGTTGGAGATGATGGTTGAGATTTTTGCATAAAAGAAACATAGCATAACTGTACATTCACTATGGCACCTTGTTGCAGAATTGCACAACTAAATGCACACTGTACGCATGACAATGTTCAGCCATGCCATCAATGCACAACAGTCAACAATGTGAAATGTTCAACAATACTCAGCCTGCAATGGTGTATAATGCATAATTCCAGTTTTGTAACATTCAGCTGAATACAGCCATTAGTCAAAAATGTTTACCTACTTGCATAAGGGATCTTACACAAGTGTAAGGCAGCAATGGGGATGCCAGCCTGTAATTCCCAGAATATTCCAGCTAGCATGGGGAAAAATTCTGGAAGATGTAATCCAAATATATCATTCCACTAACTTTTGGATCCAGCAAGGTTCTTATTATGTGAAGAACAAGCTATGGTATTTATTTTTAGGAAATAAAATATTAACAGTTCCTCAAAGCAAACCTGCAGCTGCTGTAGTACTACGCATAGCGTTGCTTTGAGAAACTCTGAAATGGAGATGTGAAGTGGTGAACAGTGTACCACTAATAAGGGGCAGCAAAGTGCAATCCTGGGGCCACATGTGGCCCTGAAATATGCGTTTGTGATCCCCAACAGCTCCAGAATCATCAAGGCAACCTCTTTTTGCATCCCCCCCCCAAGAAAGAGGAAGAATTGCTGATCTCAGAAACCTCCAGGAACAAAGATTTCCCTTTGAAATAGACTGCAAAACCTCTTTGTACATTTTTAAGACACCCATTTTTTGAGAATCAGAAATGGAGTCTGGACCACTTGGGGGTATTTTTTGGTAATCCATGTGGTTCTGGAAGGTTTGGGGGCCCAGAGGTGGTCCCTGTAGCTGCTGAAGTTGCCCATGCTTCCATGAACGCATCTGTCTTTCATAGCTTCTTTCCCTGATCGCATGAGATGCATGCAAATGTCTGCAACCATGCAGCCAGGCCTGAAGGTTTCATATGGATTTCCAGGTCAGAAATTCAGAGAAAATAAAATATCATTGTAATAAAGGAGGAAGAGGATATAGCCAAGAGCTAGAGAGCTGCAGCTTGGCTGCACGCTAAGAATAGCTTTGTCAGGCTGACACAGACAGAGCGGATGGGCATTAAAAGCTGCAGGGAAGCATTTCAGAGCTCCAAATGTCTGCAGTGGAGCAAGAGTTAGAATGGTGTCTTTGGAAAGAGCTGGCTCCCAGTGACACTTTGGAAAAGCAGAAAAATCTTCATTGCATGCACCCTTACAAGGGTTCTCTCTTTGGAAAGAGTGAGGGCTATGTGCAAGAGCTTTGCACATCCTTCTCCTCCATGTTGGGGTTGTTGGCGGAGGAAGATACTCAAAATCCCCTTCAGCTCAAAGCATAAGGCTCCTCTCCACCTTCAACCAGCCACCAGCACCATCTCACTTTGCACCCAGGACCAGAGGAAGAGGGAATCTGCTTTTCAAGCGGCCAAATGCTTCTTTCTCCCTTCCCTTGGCCTCCTCTCCCCTGTCCTCCCAGTGAAAAGAAAAAAGCTACAGCCGCCTTTCATGAAAGCCATTCATTCCCACCGGCTCACATGGGAGAAGGCTGCTTTTGCCAAAGCTTCCCCTTCCCCCAGCTCTGGGCACACTAAGTTATTTTAATTTCATTTATTTTCACGTACGGTACAGCCCACTCTTCCCCTCACAGTTCCAGGTTAAGATTATATCCCTAGATCCATAGCAGAGCATAAAAGCTCGCTTCATCTCATTGCAGACATACTAATTCATGACCAGACAGAGGAGACAATACAACTTTATGTCTTTTATTAACTTTCCAAGCTCTAGGTGATGCCTTGTCGATGAAATGCAAGATACACCTTGTGGGGAGGACATTCTACAACTAGGTGCTACCACACAGAAGGCCCTTTCAGACATTTCTGCCCCACAGATTTCAAAGAGGTGTGGTATTCAAAGTCAGGCCTTTCCTTCTTGGTTTGAAGACTGGTTTATAAAGGTGTTATTTCAGATTAAGGAGTTATTGTGTGACTTCAAGTCGTTTCTGACTTCAAGTCGTGTGATGCTAAGACAACCCCATCATGAGGTTTTCTAGGGCTGAGAGTGTGTGACTTGTCCAAGGTCACTCAGTGGGCCTCCAAAGCTGGCCAGAAAATCAAACCTTAATTTTCGGAGTTGTAGTCCCAATGCTCAGAACATTGCACCATGCTGGCCATTTCAGACTAAGGTGCTTTTATTAATAATAATTATAATACTGTATGATTAATAACAATAATATTAATGTAGAGTTCACCTTTCCCCCATCACTAAGATTTGTGGGGCATCCTTCCCACTAAGTACAGCTCCAAATCACCATGAGGAAATTTTGCTTCCCCTTTAGTCCATTTGACTATACAGGATTTTAAAAAAATCTCAATTATTCCTTCACACTCAAATCCAGTTGAAATATCCAAAAGCTACCACGTCTGCACTTGGAAATATCTGTTCCATACAATATATTTCATTATTACAACACTGCTCATTCATGTCTCTGCAGATTTTGGATACCTCAATCTGGCATCAAACTCACCATGCAGATATTGCAATTCTGACTCTCAAAAAGTACCGTAACCATTTGCTCAGCTGCCAAATTTTTCATTTCCATTTCACTATCGGGCAAATAAATGAAGGCCACTTTGCCGTCACATTAAGAGGGCCATAAAGAAATGCCATTTATCTTGTGATTTATTACTGATTTGAATGTGGTTGTGTATGGCACCAATGGATTGCAATTGTTAGTTTTGATTTTATTATTGGTGTAATGTGTTTTGGAGAAGTTGTAGTTCTTGGACATCTCTTTGGGAGAGTTTATTCTTAAAAACTGTTTAAAATAAAGAGTGGCAATGGCCATTAAAAGGCAATGTGGCAATGAATGTGTCACCCTTCCAACGTCACTTTCATTTCCATTTTATTTCAACATTGGCTGCATTGATTAAAGCTGATGGGAACTGTAGTCCAATATATGGAAGGTCATGTTTCCCACAGCACACATACCCAGCCTTGGCGTTAGAGGTAACCAATGTAGCTCTCCAGATGTTGATGAACTGCAATTCCCATTATCCCTAGCCAGATTAGCCAAATAGTGAGGAATTCTGGGAATTGCAGTTCCACAAAATTAAATAGGCCAGATTTTGCCTTATGAAATATAAATTGAGGAGAGAAAAGCTACAGCTTGTATGGTAGCAAATTGTTGGCTCCTCAAATAATCATCACAGAGGGCTATCATGACTGGAAAAAGGCCATATTACTATGTAGGTCTAGCATCCATCTTTAAAAAATGGTAGCCTACTATGGCAACTTCTCTACTTGCCCCTGAGGGAGTGCTTCCAGCTCACAAAAATCTAGCTTTTTAACATTTAATTTTGAATTTCTTAAAAAAAAATAATCTGGAATTCCACTCGGTATCATTAAAACCAATGTTGTTCTACCAAAACATACACTTGCACTCCTACAAAGAACTGCAACAACACAAAATCAAGCTTTTAAAGTTTTATTTCTCATCTTTTACAGTAAATCTGATACAGGCAATTAAATAATTCTGCAAATAAAAACCAAGAACAATTCCCCCCCCCCAAAAAAGTTAAAAAGCAAAGGAATTTAAGTTATGTCTTTCATTCATACGCGTATCAACTTCTCAAAGATGCAGCCTTGAAAGGTAAAAGGGATGAAATTTAATAATTATTAAAAAATAAGAAGCAAGGAAAGTTAAACACCTCCATTGCCAAATTAAGTTTGTTTTCTTTTAAAACAACTTGTCGTCAACAAATATTAACAGGAAAGGGAGAGATCAGGCAGGCAATGATCCAAAAATCTCTGTCAGTTAATTAAAGTGGCTAAAGAGGCATTATTGGGTTCAGTCAACGTTTTCCCCCTCGACTATGGCGGAAATAGTGGTTTCATTTTTTCATTTTTATATTATCTTAGTGCAATGTGTCACTATAATTAACAGATGAAAACAACTGTACACTAAAAGAACAAACAGGGTCAGAGCAGATCCTATTAAGAAACAAAGAGGAAAGGGAAGGTGAAGGTTAGACGTGAAAACCAACCGCCTTTGCAGCGGCCATGACAGTTTCTTTTACCAGGAAATAAAATCAAAATGGTCACCACCTGTCACAAATAAGCCTTTTCGTTCAGCCATTTTA